ATATATATATATATATATATATGATTGAAATTAAGTTGTAAAAATGAATAACGATGAGGCTAGGCTAAGCATCCTTCATTGCTGAGTCTGGATGAAAACTCAAAATTTATATATATCAATACATAATTGCCAGTTTGGCTATCAATGTCCGAAGAGTAGCAAATGAAAACTGTGGTAGTTAAGACAAAATTATTAGAAAGAATAACTAGCATTAATCTTCTGGTAAAAATGGCAAACGAGCCCTCCTTAAAGAGTTCAGATACGACGTAAGAATAAAGGGTTATTAATGGTTTTTATGAGAATTTAAAGAGCACGTTGCAAAAGCGGCATTATTTCTCATTACATCCTATGGCTTTGTAAACCGGAAAAAAATTAACATGAAACTTCACGCTTGACTATATACTCCTACAGGCCAGTACTTAGAAAGTTTTGGCCTAGAATACCTGACCAGAATATATGCTGATTAACTAGTATGTGACTGAAAGCAACCTTACTTCACAACGCAATAGGGATTGGCTCGTATTAGCTAAAGTAAAAGAACACAGAAAATTACGGCAAGCAGTGGGCTTTACAAATTCTCTGATCCAATTCATAAACAAAACAGAAGTACAGATAGACAACGAGTAATTTATTCAATCTCATCATAGTATCTATCATCTGTATTTGGAGAGCACTTCGTTTTCCAACCTTAGTCGGAGCAAAAAGTAGACCTAGAAGGACTTATCTAATTCCGCGTCCTCTGTCATAGTATTCGTGCTTTCCCATAGGTCTCGCTGGCATCGTAAGTTGAGATGCACCATCGTTATAATTTAGCAAAGTGATAAGTCAAGGTAATTCTCTTGACCTATTTTATGTTCAACCGTTGTGGCATCACTCCTTGCATCTATTTTTTGCCCTACATTCTAGTGCTGCATCTCTTTATCTCAATCCCACTTCATATGGTCCATTCATACATTCACACAATTATGTGCTCCCGTTTCCTCCAATTTTGCTAACAGTGTTTGCCACTTCCAGTGAGTTTAGTGGTTCCAGATGGCGTTTGCAGGGCTTCTGACTTTATAAGTGGGTTGACCTCGTTGTCGCAACTTGATCTTGTTTTCAGGGAGACTATGTAGAAGGCACCTTGTCCGAAGTCGTCTGTCATAGTAGTTGTCATGATTCCCAGCATCTGACAGTGGACTTGATAAATTCTCAAACGTTTCGCCGGCATCATCAGTGAGCTTTGCCATTCTCCGCACCAACCTACGAACTTGTCAAAGAGACTGGAACCAGAAAGATATAAAACAGATCTTGGAGACAATGAAGGGTTTGGAGGCCCGAGTCGGATCAGCCGATCGAAAGAGAGGCGTCGGGGTAAATAGCAAGTGTGATGAGGCCACGCTAGATTTGCCACAAAA